TCTCTCATTCTCTCTCTCTGAAATAAATAAATAAAATCTTTAAAAATAAATAAATAAATAAATAAATAAATAAAATGTCTGGTCAGCTCTCTGCTTCAACTCATCTAGGAACTTTAAACAGCAGCATTTGGGACTTTTCAAACAGCATTCAGCAAAGCAAGTACCTTTTATTGATGCCCCAATAAAAGCTCTACCTTAAGCAGCAATTAAGAGGTTCAAGACAGGCCAGCACTCTCTCTCTCAAGCTGGGAGTTCCTGAACTGAAAGGTCTCAGGCTCCACACACCCAGCTGATCAGAGAGCCTCCGCCTCAGCTATGCTCATACTTACACTAACAATAGCTCAACTGGATAGCACTCCCACGTACATGGACTAAGCTCCAAGAAAATACACGTAGATTCTGATACTGTAGCTGACATTTTATTTCAAATGCATGGGTTTTTTAATGTTAAACATGTATGAGGGGAGGCAATATTTAATGCCTCTCAGCTTGCCTCTTTACTCACCCTTTCCTAGCTACCATCTAGAAGGAGACAAGGTTGCTACCGAGATTGGTTAGACAGCAGGACAGGGACCAGAGACCACACCGTGTTACCACACTGTGTTCACCAGTGGGCAGGAGCTACTGACTTGAGAGAAGCTGGACATGCATGTGTTTTCTCTTTTTAACATTCTCTATGTGGTGAGGTAGGTAACAGATCAGGGTGTAACTCTTTACAGCAGGCCTGACCACCTCTCTCTATGCCCAGTCCTGCCAGAGCATGCCAGTTACTGACTATAATTACTGCAGCATTTGGTACACCAGAAGATGGTACTATTCCAAGATTCAGATCTGGGCTCAGTGAAGGCTTTCTCTGGCCTTAAGCCTAAACCAGACACTACTTCTGTTCTCCTACATTGGGGAATTGGGCTCTATACCACATAATGATAAAGAGATGCCACGATTATTTCCCTATTATTCCTTATGTGTATTTTATCAAAAACCCTGTGAGGAGGAGAAGTGAGTAGCAGACATGATTTAGGTATTCCTGGGACCCTTTATTTTCCTAGGGGAAAAATATCTCTAATTCTAAAGTGTATACAATCAGGAAAGTATATAACAAATGGAGTATCGCTGACAATGAATACTGAATGAGAGACATATAATTACATTACCAAATGTTTAGAAAATTGAAAGGATTAGAAGAATCAATATTAAGGTTTTTGAGATACTGGTACATTACCTGGATGAAACCTGGGTTGGGGGTTCTTAATTTCTTTTTTTCCAACTAACATCCTACACTGTTTCCCCTAACAGAAAAGATAATTCAAGAGACACTAAGAGAGGGATACTTTCAGAGTAAGATGGTGACATCTTGGTACTGCAGGGAAGGGTCCTGCCTCCTTCATCAAAAGATGCCTAAAAGCTCAGCAATGAGTGGTATCAGCTAAACCAGTAATTGAAAATTCTGCATTGTCAGGTCCTGCTCTGCATTTCTCATTTATATCTCATCTTCCCATTAACCTGCTTAAGGTCTCACCAGCACCAAAGGCTACAGTATCGTCCACCAGTAGATGGTCAACCAGGTCAGGCTTGAGGATGAACTGGCTGGGGACTCCAGATCTCAACTGCCTATGCTCAAGACTAAGGTATAGCTAATATAAATAAATAAGAGAACAAGAAATAACAGTGGCTATTTTACTGCACTCACTAGGATCATTACTTTTCTAGAGACACCCTTCAACCTTCTAAGGTTAATGTCTTTTAGCTGCTACATTTTCTCATTGGTAGAAACTGGAGGGAAGAGACTAAATGTGGAACTACAGTGGAGACTGGAGAAATTTTTTGTAGTATTTCTTTCCTATTCAGTTTCTACTAAACTCGGCAAAAACATCACAAACTTCCATCTACTACAAACTTGGTGATCCCCTGACAACTGGAATGCATTTCAGACTACAATGGCTTCAATGATAAAAGCAAGATAGGAGGCGCAGTCAAAAGAAGACATAATAGAAACAGCAAATCGGAAAAGTAGGTGGCATAACTTCATTTTCAATTACCTGCATCAATGTTTGGAAACAGAACTAGGGTCCGCTTGTTAAATGAGATAAGCGCATCCAATGTTAATTCAAACATTTTTATGGAATGCTTAATGTCAGTGGTCACAGGGTGCTGTAGCGCAACAATGTAATCTTTAGATTTTACATCATCACCTGTTTAAAGAAAATCAAACCACACTGCTTCATTAGTTAAGAATTTTAAAGAGGAAGAAGCAAATTCTAAAAAGCAAGACCCCAAAGTCTGTGCTTAAAAATTCTAAGGACAAAACAGTTTGCCACATTCCAGGCAGAGTATCTGAATACAGGATCAAACAATAAGAACTCACAGGAACAAGTCCAGGAATCTAGCAAAGTTAACATTTTACAAAGGCGCTTGCTACCACAAACAAAAATATATAACTTTAAGCAGTAGTCACAAGAATCTGTTGCTTTAAAATCCAAAATATTTAAAAGCATTAGAAAAATGTAAATCTTCCCCATTTCTAACCAGTGTTTCTAATGAATTATCAACAATATTAATGAATTGATGAAGCTCAAGATTACTTTAATGCATAGCCAACATAAATAAGAGAACAAGAAAAACCAGTAATGGCTATTTCCCTGTAGTGCGTAGGATCATTTCCTTCCTAGAGACACCCTCCCACCTTCTAAGGTTTATGTCTCTTGGCTACTGCATTTTCTCATTGGTGGGAACTGGAAGGAAGAGACCAAACAGGAAACCTCTTGCTCCTCAATGTGCAACTTCTGACGTCACTCTGCTTTGTCTCACTCAGCCCTTCTACACAACCCTAAAGGTATCATCATTTTGTTTCATGTTGTAAAGTTCTCTATTTACTGTGGTATTTCTTTCATTATTAGGAATTTAACAAGTCTTTTTAACTTTTTTTTTTTTTTAGAGGGGGAGGGGGAGGGGCAGAGGGAGAGCGAGAGAGAATCTTAAGCAGACTCCATGCCCAGCACAGAGCCAGACGCAGGGCCCAACCTCACGACCCTGAGATCATGACTGGAGCTGAAATCAAGAGTCAGAAGTTTAACTAACAGGGCTACCCAGGTGCCCCTTTTTAACTTTGCTACTATTTTTACTATGACTGTTATTTATTCATGTTCTGATGACGCAGATGCATGCTCTGAGTGGCCTACCCAATCCTATTCTTCCTATGAGCAGAGTGATGCCATCAGAAGTTGCAGGTGGAGAAGCAGTTACAGGTTTTGCACAAAACATACTGGCAGGGGTGGGTGGCTTAGACTCATTGTCTTTTCTTTTCCAATGGCTTAAAAAAAAAAAATCAAGTTCTTGTTGATTTACTGAAATAAATGACATGCATGAATCTAGCACCTGCGAACCACCCCCCCCAGTTGTCTAGTGTGTCCACTCTTTCCATCATCTACTCAGCCGGCTGTTCATCAGCTGCTCAAGCGAGGTTCGTCAGTCAGTCAATAAGCCCTTCAGCTGTTCAGTCATTTTGTCTCCATGTATTTTCTGACCAATGCGATGGAGTCAACACAGTGAAAATAGCCATATTTTTCAATAGAGCTGCCTAAGAAGAGAAGAGCAGAAGAGCGGTAGCTAGAGAGAGGTGTGGGGTCATTATTTCTAAGATGTGAGAGGCTGAGGCATGTTTCAATGATGAGGAGGCTGAAGATTCATGGCAGAGAAAGGATGCCCCTGAGGTCCTGGAGAAAGTAGGAAGGGTGGGGATCTAGAACATGGGTAGAAGGCTGAGAGGTGGGCAGGACAGAGAGACGCCACACCCTCCGAAGTAAATAGGTAAGAAGGAAAGGATGGGTAGGCATGTGTTTATCTAAGTGTGTTGACAGAATATACAAGACTGCCTTTGACAACAGAAGACCCGTTGCAAATCCAGCGTTCAACTGTCTGTTCGAATCGTCCTTGAACTCTCAGCAGCGTTCAACACTGTCTCTTCAAAACACTTTCTTTCCTGGGCTTTAATGCTATCACCCCTCCTGGGTTTCCTCTGACCCCACTGGCAGTTTCTTTTCAGTCTTCCTTGCGGGCCCCTTCCTCCTCACCAAAACCCTAAATGCTGAAGGGCTCCAGCGGTTGGTCCTGGGCTCCATTCTCTTCCCTATTTACATGTCACCCCTGGGCAATCTCATGTAGTCCCTTCATTTTAAATGACATCTCTGGCAGAGTGCACCATTATCCTCCATGTCCCTTCTCTGTACTAGTATCAAAATTTTTAGCTGGGTATCTGATAATCCAGCTAAAGACTATATTCTTCAGCTTCCCCTACAGCTAGATGTGACCCTGTGACTATATTCTGATAGGATATGTGAAGAAATATTTGCAACTTCTGAGGGGGGTGTGCTTTTAAAAGGAAGAACACCTTGGGCGCCTGGGTGGCTCAGTCGTTAAGCGTCTGCCTTCAGCTCAGGTCATGATTCCAGGGTCCTGGGATCGAGCCCCACATTGGGCCCCCTGCTAGTCAGGAAGCCTGCTTCTCCCTCTCCCACTCCCCCTGCTTGTGTTCCCTCTCTCAAAGTGTCTCTGTCAAATAAATAAATATTAAAAAAAATAAAAATAAAAGGAAGGACACCTTTCCTCTCTTTCTTCCCAATGGCTAAAATGTGGACTTGACAGCAAGAGGTGGAGCATCTATCAAGAAGACAGATAGAGGCTAATTCTCTGATGACCGTGGAGCTATACCAATGAGAAACAAAGAAATTCTAACTTACTTAGGCACTATTATTTTGGGTCTCTCTGTTACAGCAAATGAACTGATATCTTAACTAAACACCATCCACATACCAATCGCTCTCAAATTTCTATCTCTAACTCTGACTCTCCTAGAACTATCTAGCTGCTTGCTTGCCATGTCCACTTTGAAATCTAATAGGCATCTCAAATTTAACACGGCCATTTGAGAACTCTTAATTCCACCCCTCCCAAATGTGTTCCTCCTGCAGCGTCCCCCATGTCAGGAAAGAGTACCGCCACTGCTCCATCCAAAAATCTAAAAGTTTCTTCCTTTCACTGCTCACATCCAAGCAGCAGTGAGTACTCTAACAAACCCCAAATCTAACCTTTGTCCATCTCTGTTATTACTAGGTACTCTAAGCCAGTACCATCTCTCATATGACCTGAAATAACCTCTTAATTGGTCTCCCTGCTTCCACTCCTGTCCCACCACATTCCACTCTCCATAAAGCAACAGAGTGGTCTTTCCAAAATGCAAGTCACATGGTGTCCACCTCCCATAAATGGCTTCCCATGATACTCAGGAAAAAATCCCAGATTATTTACCCTGGCTTACAAAGGTCGGCCTCCTTCTCTTACATCATCTTGTATCACTCTTCCTCTTGCCCACTACCTTACAGCTACACTGACTCTTCTGTTTCTCAAATACGTCAGGCTTGTTCCCAGCTTAGGGTCTTCACGCTGGCTGTTCCCCTCTGCTTCTCCCTGATTCTCACATAGCAGATTCATTGTCACTCAGGTCTCAGCTGAAGTATCATCTGCTCAATGAGGCCTTCCCTTATGCCATCTAATGTATCCCATCATATTACATTGTGTTACAGACTGCACAGCACACAGAACATCTGATACTCTTCTTTTTCCTTTTTTTTTTTTTTTGGTCTATCATCTATCTCCCCTCCCACTAGAATAAAGCTACATGAGAGGTCAGTCCTGGTTAGTATAGTTTACTGCCAAATCCCAGCGCCTACACATAGTAGGTGCTTATTAAATATTTTCTTAATGAATGAAGTTGAGAGAATTTCAATTCAATGGTTTGTATTTTCTCTGTGAAGTGGGGAACAAAGTAATATGTTGGGAATGAAAGAGAAGGAAGACCTAAAGGTAACAGAAAATTAGGGTAGCAATTATGAACACAGAAAGAGCAGAGCTGGAACTAACCTCTTTGATTCTAGTCCAGTTCTTTGTCCACAAAGTATATACATTTTTCCATTAGCTACAGAAATATATTTGCATGGATACTACTAGAACTTGGACTAATATTAATAATGAGATCTAGCTCAGCTAGTAAATTCATTAATAATAATCCTTCTTATACTTTAGTTATTAAGGGGGCATCTTATTTAGAATTTCCATGCTCTGGAGTACTCACTAAAGGCACTCTACTGTACCCACAAATCAAAGACTAGCATTCATATACTTAAAACACAATCATTCTATCTTAAACACAGCCATCAAAGACCATAATCAGCTAAGAAAATCTTAGCTCTGACATTACAAAGACCATAAAAATATTAAGCAGAGCCCTAAAAAAAACAAAAATCACTTTGTGCTATTTATAGATTTTAGGTGACAACTGGTCATTAACTTCATTCTCTCACTCGTTCATAAAAATGCATGCCAGCACCAATACATGCAAACCTTGTAATAATTCAAATATATGATGAAAAAAAGGTCACAGATGTGTAAGGGGGACCCCATATTTCATGCCTCTCCCCTCACACTCTCCTAGGTAGTGGCCACCAGGGGAGGCAAAGCTGCCAATCTGACTGGTCAGGCAGCAGGACAGCGGCCACACTGCGCTCACCAGTGGGCAGGAGCCACTGATTCCACACAGATTTCTAGTCAAGTGAGACACAAACTGAGGTAAATACCTGTTTCTCTTCCAATCTGACGTGTTCCTAGATTGATCACAGGTGTTCCAAAAGCTCCAACCTCTCGTACTCCACAGCTGCTGTTCCCAATCATACAACCAGCATGGGCGACCAACTGTATGAACTGGTCAAATGGGACATGTTTAACTGCACGGAAATTGGGATGATGCTCAATGCCCTTCTTCCGCATCACTCGAACCATTTCTTTGCTCCCTGTCAAAATGAAAAGGACCACCTGTTAAATGGCTTATGAGATAAACCATTTCCACCTAAAGAAATCACCCTATAAGAATTCACGACGGTTATTAGGGAGACAGTAATTTTAATTACTGATCTTCTCAGGAATGATGACTATCTAAAATGTCTGGTCAGGGCGCCTGGGTGGCTCAGTTGGTTAAGCGACTGCCTTCGGCTCAGGTCATGATCCTGGAGTCCCAGGATCGAGTCCCGCATCGGGCTCC